TCCTTGTGTACGATGCCTTAACTACTCCCACCCACCCACCCACCCACGTGACGAAGACATTTTCACGGGGCAAAATAAATGTTTGGCCATAACAATACCGTAACAAAAATTTATGTTAGGCGATCACGACATGTCAGTATGTCACGTTAGCATGGATGAAGGATCAAGGAGACATATTTTATCACTCCACCCCACACAAAAAATCGCTGTTGATTTATTTGCCCCCCATTTCAATATTGTGATGATTCAGGACTAGTCAGGCAGCCAAAGTGGGGGCACTTGAGGGATGTGCACAAGGCCATAAAGCTCTGCGAACCAGCGCTCATAGCAACTGATCCGTCATACACTTCTCTAGGTCCAAATGCTGAGGTATGTCCTCCTTTACAAAAAGCATCTTCATTTTTCAACAAAAAGTGTCTTTGAGACGACAAAACAAGTAAACGTTCAGCAGCATTGCAGAAATGTAGCAAATTTTGTTCTGAAGAAAATATTTACCTTCATTGTCTGGTCCCTATAAAACGATGTCTGCATTCTTCTATCTTCAGGCAGCGGTATACAAGACTGGTTCAGTTTGCGCAGCATTCCTTGCCAACATAGATGGTCAATCTGATAAAACCGTCACCTTCAATGGGAGAATGTACAGGCTCCCTGCGTGGTCTGTCAGCATCCTTCCTGACTGCAAGAATGTGGTACTTAACACAGCTCAGGTACATATAATTACAATTTACACATAAGTTCCTTGCACTTGTGTTGGGAAAGAAAGATTGACCATTAATCTGATTCAGATATACGTGGCTACAAATTGCAGATCAATTCTCAAGTGACGAGTTTAGAAATGAGATACTTGGAATCGAGCAACCTGGCATCAGATGGCTCATTCATCACGCCAGAACTGGCCATATCTGGCTGGAGCTATGCCATAGAGCCTGTAGGTATCACAAAGGACAATGCACTGACAAAGGCTGGACTGATGGAGCAGATAAACACCACAGCAGATGCCAGTGATTTCCTCTGGTACTCAACAAGGTACATGCCTTATTGCAATTATGCATACGGTAATGTACACTGACAAAACAAATTTTTACTAACCGTTGTGCTACTAATGTAATTTGTGCAGCTTCACAGTTAAAGGTGATGAACCCTATCTAAATGGCAGCCAGTCCAATCTGGTTGTCAACTCACTTGGACATGTTCTTCAGGTCTACATCAATGGTAAAATTGCAGGTACTGCTCGAGAAGATAGCACCAATTCCTTCCATCTGTCATTTAATTGTGGTTCTGATTTTCTTAACATGGGTCTTTCATGCATAAATCAAATTTGTGTTCTGAGATATATGTGCTAAAATCTTGCCAGGAAGTGCACAAGGTAGTGCAAGCAGCTCACTCATCTCATGGCAGAAACCAATTGAACTTGTACCTGGGAAGAACAAAATAGATCTTCTAAGTGCAACAGTTGGGCTGTCGGTAAATAACCTTCACTATGGTCCATTCTGCAATATGTGACTTGCTGTAACAGATTTATAACATAAATTTACCCTCGCCTTCACTGTTCATACAGAATTATGGTGCATTCTTCGACCTGGTAGGTGCTGGAATTACTGGGCCAGTAAAGCTGAGTGGAACAAATGGTGCGCTTGATCTGTCTTCTGCAGAATGGACATACCAGGTAGCCTAAACTCTACTTTGAGCTCCATTTGACCAAAGATGCATCGTGATTCACATTTATTAATCATAATTTGATCAGATTGGACTCAGAGGAGAAGATTTGCACCTATATGATCCTTCAGAAGCCTCACCAGAATGGGTCTCAGCCAATGCTTATCCAATCAATCAACCACTGATTTGGTACAAGGTCAGTATGAATGTATGATCATCTGACCAAGGAACCAATCCATATACAGCATTTGAACACACCCAGTATGGGCTTAAAAGACAAGATATATACATTCTATTTGTTTGGCTAACCCATTTCCCTAGAATTGCCTTGGGTTGATGTGCTAACTGCAAGTCTCCAAACACAGACCAAGTTCACGCCTCCTGCTGGTGATGATCCTGTTGCAATTGACTTCACGGGAATGGGGAAAGGCGAAGCATGGGTGAACGGACAGAGCATTGGTCGATACTGGCCAACAAATCTGGCTCCACAGAGTGGCTGTGTCAACTCGTGCAACTACAGAGGAAACTACAATTCAAACAAATGCCTCAAGAAGTGTGGCCAGCCATCACAGACTTTGTAAGACTTCCACATCTCCACCCCCCCCCCCCAACCCCAGTATGCTCTATAATATTTTCATTAGTTCCTTTTGTTCCCTACATGCAAAGCCAGTCCTAGTATTTCATCTATGTCAATTTTATATGTCCAGATCTGTCTGTAACATATAGGTCTTAATAGCAATTTACATTTCTGAAGATTTACACCCTGCTAGATTTTAAGTACTGAAACTATGGCACATAAGGAAGGAAGGGCCTGGTGCAAGCGGTAGAGTCTTACCGCCTTTGACCGGAAGGTCCCGGGTTCGAGTCGCGGTCTCCTCGCATTGCACAGGCGAGGGTAAGGCTTGTCACTAACACCCTTCTCCAGACCCCGCACAGAGCGGGAGCTCTCTGCACTGGGTACGCCCTTTAAACTATGGCACATAAAGCATGCACACTGTGACGCTGAGCACTTTAGCAGCGTGTTCTGATGTTGCACAACAATATAGCAACTGCAGGAACTGAATGACTATTTATTAATTGGATTTTTACCTTGTTAAACAGGTACCATGTTCCCCGTTCGTTTCTCCAACCAGGCAGCAATGATCTAGTCCTTTTCGAGCAATTTGGCGGTGACCCAAGCAAGATATCCTTTGTGATAAGGCAGACAGGAAGTGTGTGCGCACAAGTATCAGAGGCACATCCAGCCCAAGTTGATAGTTGGAATTCTTCTCAACAGCAGAGATATGGACCTGCACTTCGCCTGGAATGCCCAAAAGATGGCCAGGTCATCAGCAGCATCAAGTTTGCAAGCTTTGGGACACCGAGCGGCACATGTGGAAGCTACAGGCACGGCGAATGCAGCAGCACTCAGACTCTCTCAGTTGTTCAGGAGGTAACTACAAGCTGCTCCATTCTCATGTCTCAATGTATCAACTGATTCTTATGGGTTGCTGATAGTGTTACTGGGACTCTGCAGGCTTGCATCGGAGTGAGCAGCTGCAGCGTGCCAGTGTCGTCGACTTACTTTGGAAATCCATGCACAGGGGTGACAAAAAGCCTTGCGGTTGAAGCTGCATGTTCGTGACATGTCTGATTAATATTGGTTCATAGGAAGTAAGATCAGTTCGGAGAAGGTGAAACCTTCTCAGTGTAGGCAAGCAGGCAAAAAGGAATAAATGTTCCCGTCCTAATCAAAAAGAATAAAAATATTCCCAAAATTGCTACATCCAAGCTATTAGATGGTATGCTTAGAGCCTTAGAAAGTATTGTTCTTGTTAAGATGTAAATTCATCCATCATGACAAAGAAGGTGATCTTTTTGTAATCCTTCTTGAAAAAATTGAATGGTTTGAATTTCAATCAAGTTTAATGATACATACTTGCAAAAAAGGATGTTTGAACTACACTTCTCAATGAATGGACAGTTTTGTCATACCAAGAGACACCTGGAATCCTGAGTACCAAGCAACATTGGAGTCACCACTCGCATGTAGTTGGTTTTGTACTGCAGGGAAAAAAAAACTTACGAAGACTTCTAGGTTCCCATAATCTTTGTGGCATAATGGTTCAGCTCGCAGTACCTAGCTTCAGCCTCGGTTTACCTCAAGGGACAGCCCACTTGGAATGAGAATACTTTCACAGATTGATGAAGACCGTTTAGGGCTAATTTGGAAACTCAAATCCCCTTGGGATCCCTGACTTTTTCCAGGGTGGAAAATCCATGGGGAAATAATTTGAATAATCATTTAGTTCTTCATGGAGGGGTTTTCCATCCCTGGGTGTGCCTCCCCTTGCTTCCAAATTAGCCCTTAGCAGTGCATGTCACAAAGATGATCATCCATTTCTATCTTGCTGCAAACCTCAATGATACAAGAACACAAATTGACAAGAAAGTTTCAATGGGATTTCAAAAAATCCCAAAAGGAACCAACAAGAGATCAAGTACATCATAATACATTCAACTTGTTTAAACCAAAGGAGTCCAGGACAATAGTTTTAACCAAACATGGAAAACTGCAGTCGATATTAACTGGAAATGGATCAAAAGTGGTATGTCAATATAAACAGGGCAACTATTGCCTCACAGCTCATTAAAAAGAAAGCAATCAGCAACAAGCAATAATAGGACATGTCCACTGATGATCTAGAGCCTTTATGTGCAACGGAGAGCTGTAAAAATCACCATCTCTGAACAATAAAAATTAACAAGGTACATCTTGTTGTAACACAGCTACAGCCAAAATTTCCCTTTCCTGATCTTTCACCAATTGTCTCAAAAGAAACATTACCAAGAAAGAGATAGAGAAGCCAATCAACTTATAACAGACTGCTAACAGACTATCAAGTTGCATAATCATAGTAAACAAAAAATAATATTTCATTTCCCATGCATAGATTATGGGCTCAATAAATGTAAAATGGCAGATCAAATTACACATGCACTAACCATAAGAAACAGGTTGCAAGATAGGCATGCAGCAAAAATATATCATCAGTCAACAAAAGAAACAAGAAATGTCAGCAGAATCTTGCAACTAAAGGCGTCTCACTTACAAATTGCTAACAAGATGATAAGACGGGTAATTCATTATGCACAAGATAATGGGCATCCAGCTTGCTACAACTGCTAAAAAGGTAACAGGTTACAATAGAGCTATCAACAGTCAAGTCTGATCTGCAATACTAAAGCCTAGCTGTTTAGTTGTACTGCCAGCTCTAAGAACATACATGATTACATGTTGATGTAAAGGAAGGATGCCCTCTCTGAATTCCAAACATAAAGGATTACAGAAGTAGACAATCAAATTACCCCACATGCATGCCACCTCCTATAAAATAAGTGTTAGTTTCCATATTTGGTCTCTTATTTGCATCCATCACCTGATCTCTCATATCAAGAAGTTGTTTGGGATGGTAAACTGCTGGGTGTGGATGCATTTGCATAAAATCTGTTGCGGCCATCGGCAAAGAGCCACTCTCCAGGTTTATATTCACCAAATCAAAAGTGTGCATCCCATTCTGAGAAGTTGATACCATATTCATATCCACTCTGGCGTCGCCCTGCATCAGGTGAGGGGATGCCATGTTCATATCAACCCTTCTGTCCACATGTATCAAATGCGGCGATGCCAGGTTCATATCAACTCTTCTGTCACTGTGTATAAAATGGGGTGATGCCAAGTTCATATCAACTCTTCTGTCCCCCTGTATCAGGTGAGGTGACGCCATGTTCATGTCCACTCTCCTTTCCCTCTGCATCAAGTGAGGAGATGCCATGTTCATGTCAAGTCTTCCCTCTCCATGAATAAGGTGAGTTGTAGGCATTTTCATCTCTACTCTTCTGTCCCTATGAATCAGGGCAGTGGCATTTGATGTCGTGGTATCACCATGGACTAAGGCTGGCGCATTTGGTGCTATGTCCACATCAACCCTTCTATCCCCCTGAATCAGAGCTGAGGTGTGTGATGCCATGTTCATATCAACTCTTGTATCTGCAGACACCTGACCAGTCACAGTCATATTTACATCAACCCGTTGATCAACTTGCTGGCTGTGATCAGGCCTAATCAGTCTGTCCTTTGCTTCCTTCATGGCTGACAACACAAACTCCTTCAGCTCAGGTTCTCTTGCTCCAATGTCAATGACATCTTCAAAATACTCATGGCCACGAAAATAGAGGTCATCATAAATACCCAGATTCCTATCTGATTCCATAAAATTAGCATTTGCAGATGAATTAAGTATCCTAAAATCCTTCCTCCAGCGGTTCAGGATGTACTTTGACGGCAGCATCAGTACATTCTCTTGCTTCAGAACAGCCAGAGCATGGCTGCAAAGAATACCCCTCGAGGGAAAGGAGCGACAAATGCACCAAACATCCTTGTCAGAATTGTCGTAAACAACTGTATAGTCAACCTTCTTTCCCTGTATTAACTCACTGACCATGTAAGTAATTGAGTTCCCACTTCTGTCTACCTCTTTACAAATAACATGCATCAATTGCTTAATCTCATCTTGGAACGTTTGAAACATGGTTACTGTGTAGAGCTCCACAAGCTGCTCCTCAAAGGGCAATCCCGACAACAAAATGAGTCTAGAATAGTATGAGCGCAAATCATCATATGCTTCCCTTTCCAACTTCTCTTTCAGAGTAGTCTCATATTGCTCAAGGAAAACTGAAAGGGTGGTTTTACTCACAACACTATCAAAGTATGGATCAGTTTTTTCAGCCTTCCTGATAGCAGAGGTGCCAGCCCAGAATGAATGATTGACATACCCAGGTGCCCACTGCTTCCGACAGCTGTACAAAGCAGAGAACCACTCGTTGTCTTTGAGATTATAGTGGTCGACCATTGCTCCCCACTCTTTTTCAAAGTCGGTAAGAGTGACGCTATCATATACAACCTCCTTGAACCTTGAGGAAATTGCCTCTTTCTCATGTGTGCGTCCCACGTTTTCAAGTAGCTTCTTCAAGATATGCCAAAAGCAGAAGCGGTGCCTTGCATTTGGAAACACCTCAGCCACGGCCTCTGCGATGACATCTGAATAGCCGGTTGTGATCGCTTCTGGCGATTTGCCATTCATACAGCTCAACCACCTCTTCAACAACCAAACATAGTTCTCCCTGCTGTCGCCGGACAGGAGACCACAGCCAAGAAGCACAAGGTGGCCATGGTTGTTCACCCCAAGGAGTGTGGCTAATGGGAGGCTGGCGCGTGAGTGCTGTAAATACATCACGTCAAGTGTAATGACATCGCCAAAGTAGCGGTATTGCGCCTGGGCCCTAGAATCAGTCCAAAAGAAATTCTTCACATGACTTTCCCGATCAAGATCCCAGCTGTGGATAAAGTTCGGTTTCCTGTGTTGCATCTTCTCAATGAACTTCTTGAGTAAATTGAGGTCATCCTCCCCAAAACGCTGCACAAAACTCTCGAGCCTACTAAACCTCTGGCTACCAACAGCAGCCCCAACGCTAGCACCCCTCTTGGGTCGTGTCGGGAACTTCCTTGTCTCAGCAATCTCGCTCAGCGACTTCTCCACCATCTCATCCATCTCATCGGTAATCTTGGCCTTCTTCTTTGCTGACTCAGGCATCTCCCTGTACGCCTTTAAGAACCTCACCATATCTGGAGTACAAGGATGGTTATGCTCCAATTCGACAGACTCCACCTTCCACCTTCCATCCACCCGCTTGTCCCGGATGATCAGCATCGCCTTACATCCCGTCTTCTCGGTGGTGGTGCCACGGTGAGACTTCTTCTCCTTGGTAGCCGACCCCCGCTTGCTGCGGAGTGGGTAGCGGGTACCTGTGACGTCAGATGGGGCAGCGCCCGTCCCAGATTTGCCGCCGTAAGTGCAGGTGAAGGTGGAGCGGTAGCGTTGCCCCTCGTAGTTGTGGCAAGTGCGGCGCACGGCATGGAACCCCGTGCGGTAGGCGTAGGCCTTGTATAGCGCGAAGGCCTCGTCGACAGAGTCGAACACCATGCCCACCCGCGGCACGAGGGCCTCCTCCAGCGTGTTGGGGACGAAGACGATGTCCCCGCCGCCACCGTCCTCCTCGTCGTCGGAGGGGATGACCACCTCATCGTCCTCCACGACAACCTCGTCCTCCTCCTCCTCCTCCTCCTCCGCAGGGTATCCGTTGAGGTCGTCGGCAAGCTCCTCCTTGACCCGCCGCGCCTCCTCCTCGTCGGACTCGAGGCTAGGGTTTTGAGCCCCGGTGGCCCGCCTCTTCGAACCCGCCCCCATGCTCTGCCCCTAGTAGACTATTTACACACACCCTCTTGCGCGCGCGTGCGCCACACCACCGCACCCCCGAAAAGCATTAACACTAGAGGTACAGTGGGGCGGATACCTCGCGGCGCGGAATGGCGAGGGTTCGGCGCGGGCGACGGTACGGGGGAGCTGGGGAGGTGGCGTGGGGCACGGGAGGGGCAGCGTAGCGGCGCAGAGGACGTCGATCTCGGCGGGGCGGCGGGCGTGGGGACGTCGCCGGGGAAGAGAAGGGAAATTGGGGGGACTCGGGCTGGGTTGCTTTTGCTTTGGTGGGCGGAGCGGAGCGGAGGGGATGTGGTGGGGAGGAAGACGGGGAGTTCGTTCCTGGGTGACCTTAAGGATTTGCGCCAGTGCGGATGTGGCGGATGAGTGATGCCGTGGATCGGCGGGTGGATGAGTCTGACACCTGGGCCCTTTGGCCTTTTGCAGCCGAACACGTGATGCTGTGTTCACGCAATGACGCAGGATTTTGTTAGAGTTGTCATGATTTTTATGCGCGTCTCCTAGATTCGGCTGCGATTTAGGAGCTTCTAGCTCCATGACATTTTGCATTTTCGTGATCGTGGAGAATCTGATCCCGACAAGTATAGAATGAGGTTCTAGGAGCCAGCTAGGTAGACGTAGAGTAGAGTGACGACTGACGAGATAATAGAGAGATGCAACCAGCTATGGATAGTAGCAACCAGCTATGGATAGTAGACATATATCAGATGGATACTTGAGAATGAGTTTTCCTCTAGTTTTACAACAATCAAATTGCCTTTTCTTCTAAGCAAGACTTAGGCCCTGTTTGGTTGGGCTTTTGGCTTTGGCTTTTGGCTCCAAAAGCCCAAAGCCCAACCAAAGGGGCTGCTTTTGGAGGGTGTTTTTTCAGAAGCAGCTGCTTTTCCGTAGTTCATTTTTGAAAGCTGGGTTGACCCTGCTTTTGGCTTTTGGCTTTCTGCTTTTCGAAATTGGTGGAATAAAAAGCTCTTCCATAGTTGTTTCAAGAGAGATAAAGATAAAAGGTATATTTTATACTTGTTTAACCAAACAGCTTTCAGCTTTTCTACAGCTCACAGCCCACAGCAGCTTTTCCACAGCTCACAGCCCACAACAACTTTTTTCCACAGCCACAGCTCAACCAAACATGGCCTTATTTCTTTAGAAATTCCTACTTCCGCAAAGCTTTACTTAGGATTTTAGAGAAAGACTCTTTCAGCTATGACGAACTTTTTCTACCTCCAAGTAAGGAGGGCCCTAGGACAAGCATTATCATGGTGACGGGTATTATAGGCTAACTTTTCCTGGGCTTGTTCGGCTGGCTTTAAGCCGGCCGGCTGGCTTGTTTTTTCTCTCACGAAATTACTGTTCATGTCCTGCCAGAACATTATTTTTCTCTCACAACAATCAGCTGGAACAGTATTTTTCAGTCATGCCGAACAGGCCCCCTACCTCCAAGTAAGGAGGCCCTAGGACAAGCATTCTGAACTCGATGGAAGAACGGTGATGTGATCCTATGTCAAAGTAGAGCAATAGCGATAATTATCATTAACAATAGGGGCTTTCTTCCGATCTTATCGAATTAGTTACATTTTATTGCACTACTTCCTTCTAGTCCAACATTTTGAAACTTACAATGACAATGCCATGTTTGTATGGAGAAAATGGCATCTGTAGATCCAGCAGTAGCCTCGCCACCAACGATGAGAGGAAACAAGCCTAATGTGTGTAGAAAAGAGGGTTGTGAACTTGTGACGTTATCGAAGAGGTCATAAAGAAAACGATGAATATTGCTGCTAGTTGAACTGTTAGATTTCAATCAAGTGACGATAAACTACGTGACTACTAATATGTTCCTTTTTAGGTTTGTAGTTTTTAGGTTATGAAACCTATGAAAATTTGATTATCTTCTTACCCTTTTCAATTTGTCATGTGTGACTCTATCCAAATAAGAGATTGATGGGCTCTTTTGTTTATGAAGATTTGTATATTAAAGAGATAGAGTATCTTATGTACAGTGATCTATAAAATCGTGTTATTGCTAGTGAGAATTATAAATATAGCTATTAGCCATATAATGCTAACTATATACATTAATCCGCTTGTTTCCCAACTCTTTTTATCGTATATGTAAAAATATGAAAATGGACTGAAATATAGTGCTTGTGTCTGCCCTTGTAAAATCAAAATGGTTTACACGCAAAAATGAAAGAGGGAATTGAACGAGTTATTTATAGAAAATCATCTTCATCGTTTTCACATATTAAAAAGAACAAAAGGTAGAATCCTTTTGGCGCCTAAACATACATGTTGTTACCATAAAAGTCAAGCTCCGAAATTAAGTTGTTCCCACTTGTGAAAGCGAAACTCTACGTGATATAAATGTATCTTTGTAATTATTTTGTTAGTTTTGTTTTTTTAAGTGAAAGAGCATATCTGGTGATGGCAAAACCTAGTCCAAAATACATTAAAGAAGGATGTCAATAATTTGGTCAACCTTCATCACGCACCAATGTTTTCAAGTCGTCTAGTCGAACCTACTCGTCATGGGACCGACTAGGCAACTAACCACAATTACTCGTCGACCAGGCTGATTAGTCTAGCAAAGTGGATTGCTTCTCTTTCCTTTGAAACCAGAGAATAGTAGAGGGACAGCAGTACAGCACAGCAAGCAACCTAGCAGTCTAACAGAGAGCCAGAGAGGCTGCAGAGTGAGGGATGGGGGAGGAGGGAAGAAGATGGAGAGGGAAAAGGCACGTACCGTCGTCGGAGCAGCTCATCACGAAGACCGCGGCCACTTGACCTGGCAGAGGGTGTCGTTGGCTTCACAGCTCACCAGAGAGGAGAAATAGCGTGCGAGGGAGGGGAATAGCTCATGAGAGAGAGGGAATCGCACGCGGGAATGGGAGGAATCGCGTGTGGGAGGCAGGAAACGCGCGCGTGAGAGAGTGGAGGCGAGTGGGAAAAATTTGCGGCCGCCTTGCGTTTGCCACTGTGCCTGCGTGCCTCTGGTATTTTGGGGTGCCTACTCTAACTCTAATAGGTCAAATTGGAAGCCCAATAGGCCACATATAGGCCCGGTTGAACAGGCCCAAAAAAACAAAGCAACCACACTGGTCGTCCATGGCCTAGTCGGACGACTAATCGTGATTAGTCGTCGACAATCGGACGACTAGCTTTCTGGTCGAGCTAATCGAGTCGGACCTCCTAATCGAACACCAGGGACCGATTAGGACGAGTAATCGTGATTAATCGGACAACTTGAAAACATTGTCACGCACACACACCGATACCACTAGACCATGCACTACTTCTTTATATCTAGGATGGCGCGTAGTGTTAGAATTAACCTCTTCAATCCTACGGGCCCGTTTGGTAGAGCTCTGGCTCCAGCCAAAACAGTTTTAGTTGTGGCTTCACCTGTGGAGCAGATTCACATAAGGAGCTGAATCTGTTTTTTGGACCGTTTGACAAAACAGCTTCTCCTTATGATAAAAAGGGATGAAATGTCCAAAATACCTTTTTTTTCTTTTTTCTCCTTTTATTTCTTTTTATTTATTCTTTTTTCTCTCTACCTTATCATCCCCCGCACACGGATAGGCCCCGCGTAGGTCGTTGCTCCCCTGTTCCTCTTCCCCGTGCATCGGCTTCGTCGCGCCTCCCCGTGTCAAGGCCACGGCTCCTAGCGCCTCCCGAGCAGCGCGCATCGCCCTAGCCCTGCCCCCCGCATCTCGCCGCCCCGCGCGCCCCACAACCTCCACGGTTGCGCGCCTCACCAGCACCGCTGCCTTGCGCTGCCCGGGTGAGGCCCCGCTCCCGGTTCCAGCGGATCCGGCGCGGGTGTCCAGCAGACGCACCGCCGCCGCCCTCGCAGACGCGCCGGGGGCAAAGGAGACCCATGGCCGCGATGGGGGCCGCTACTGCTAGAGGAAGCCAGAAGAAGCCACAAATTTCAGCTCCTACTCTCTCTCCTCCCTTGTCTCAGCAGGAATTCCGGGGCTTCTTCCTAAGATCTGAGCAGGTCAGAGGCAAACATTACATTGTGTTGCTGTTTATAAACTTGAAAATATTTTAAGTCTTTGAGCTGAACTTGATTCCAAGTTGTATTTCTAGGCTATTAGAAATGTTGGCTAGCAATGTTATTTTTCCACGTCAAGTATTTCATTGTCATCTACAAGTTCATATTCCAAACTTTGTTTAAGTGCTACATATATGTTCTATAGTGTTTTTTGTTTAATAAAAATTAGTTTTAAACACTACTCGATACATATGAGTTATGGAATAGCTTCTCATTTAACATTTTTATTGATCATCTTAAGTTACAAAAATGTTATCTACACATTCCATCACATGCATTATCACATAAACATGATGCTCATGACATGATTTGGTAATTTATTTAGGACGTAACACCGAGGGTGTTATATTACTCTTGGTATTTGCTAGCACCTAAGCGGACTAGTGGAGGACTAGATGACCTATGCAGTGGAGTTTCTTGGGGGAAGCTCCTATTGGTGTGCACGGTTGGATATCTGGTGATCCTGAGTGGAGAAGAGGTATTCACTAATGGAGACTTGAGCCTTGGTGATTCAAGGGAGCAAACACAAGTCTTGGCAGCTCTTTGGTGCTCCAACGCGAACTAGGGAAAGTGATACTACTCGATACAACAGGAAAAATCCGGTTGCCTCTTGTCCTTTGTTTCATTATTGCATCACTTTCATGTCTTAGCATAGTGCTTTGCTCTTGTTTGTGTGCTAAAATAATGTGTAACAACTATAACTTCTTCCACGATGAGTGTGCTTAGTTATAGGTTTATTTTTATAACTAAAGATCCACTTCTTAATGTGAATCTTTAATAAGGACATAATTAGCTTGTTGGTTATGTGTGATCTTTTTTGTCCTAAGAGTTCACTATGCAAGTGGATGAGTAAAATTTGTGTCTAATTCACCACTCTTGAGACCTTTGGTCCTTTCACTAGGCTTGACTTGAG